CTACAGCCAATCAGCGCGCCAGCAGAGAGCACCTGCGAGCTCCTGGTCACCTGGACCAATTAGAGCGCGGCTGTCAGAACGTTACCTTTTATGGGAAACGCCAGCTGTCCCGCGAGCGCGGATAAAACCGGTGCGCTCGCGCTAACGTTGCTGCAGTAACCGCACAGCTGGGCCAGAGAAGCATCCGCGAGACTTCACCACAGACGCGCCTGACTCACCTGCACAGGTAACACTCAGAGTACAGTTTGTCATGTAGTTCGGAGGTCAAAGTGGAACAATTAGGCTGAAGCTCGGTTTAATGAAAGAGCTCAGATTTAAAGTTAAAGCTGTCGCAGCGGAAACACGATGTTACTCTGAGCTGCGGCTTCATTAGAGAGGCGCTAAAGAACAAACCGGTCCTCAAACCGCTAACTCTGATCTGACCGGAGGAGAGGCTCTGTGAGGCCGGAGGAGAGGCTCTGTGAGGCCGGAGGAGAGGCTCTGTGAGGCCGGAGGATGCTGGTTTAAACCAGCCTGCACGATAAAAGCTGAATTGATGCTGAGATCTTTAAGTAAAACTGGAGGAAAACATACAACAAACTGAGTGATGTTAAAGAGGAAAAATGCCAAAGTCAGCTGACATCTCACTGTTTTGTAAAATGTGCAGGTCAAGTTTCTTCTGAAACTTAAAGTGAAAAATGTGATACATTTCTTTAATGTTCATGACTGCATGAGATTTATTCAAGTTTAAAAACTGTCAAAATCCATCTTCAGTGACCTGAGGGAAGGGCTGCTCCTCTGCTTCCTGTTTCTAACTCTTACATAATCAGACCTCCTGCTGTAGTTTTCTGTTCAGCCAACTTAAAAAGATGCGTGACTGTTAGCGTGACCTGCACACGTGCATAGAAACTTGCTCATAAATGACTGAGCCAGATGAGCATCTGGGTTTGCAGAGCAGAAGAGTTTGTTCTGTCTGAACTTGTTAAAATGTTCTCGACTGAAAAAGGTGACAAAACAACTCAGTTTAGCCAGAAGCCCCACCCACCAGCAATGTTCCCGCTAATGTTTCACGTGTCTGAGCGAACACACAAACTCCTGAGCGTCCCTTGGACCACTGAGCAACAGCAGACGTGTGCGCTGTGGTCACGCCAGCATTGAATCATCCAAGTTACATGTTTATTAAAGTAATCAAATTACAGCATTTATGTTAGACTACTTTTAATTAACTGCTTTATCCCACTTACAATGAAAGTTCGAAAAAATCTTGTTCCTGACCTGTGTAGCATGTTAACACTATTGGAAGTAAAAAATAACTTTAACTCCAATTTTAAAAACTTTTTTTTTATTTATATTTTGCTCTGACTTGAGCACTCATAATTATGAGTCATATGTAGAGTCCTGTAACTGAAATACAGTAAATAATGACCAATGTTGGGCAATTAATTATTTAGTTCTTCAAAAAAGTAACTGAGTTTTTTGCAGCTGTTTACCTAAAAATGCAGCCAAGGTGATTTT